GGTCAGCGAGGCGGTTGCGAGGGAGGTGGGCTCGGTGGTGGTGGCGACGGAGGGGGTGGAGATGGCGGCGGTGAGGGAGGGGGCGGGGGAGGCAGGCGTGAGATCTCAAATGCCGAAGATTCCTTTTCGCTTGGGAGTTTGAGATTTCGATGAGGGGTGGGAGAGACTGAGACTGCAAGCAAGAGAGATTCCGTTTTCGATGCAGAACTTCCTCAAGCCGCCGACGCCGCCCATCTCGCCGCGCGCCGGCCTGTTCTCCACGAAACTGTGGCCGCTCGAGAGTGAGGACGAGATCGTCGCGCTTCTCCTCGGCATGGCCCGCTACCCAGTCGACACACCCGATCGCGCAGAGGTCATCGCTACCGACATGCAAACAAAGCACGCGTCCACGACCATCAACGTCCTCGTCAGCAGCATCGAGAGCGAGGCGGGCATCAGCGCTCTCGTGGATCTTCTCGACCGCAAGCGCTTCCATGAGCAGGAGAAGTCCACGCCGCTCCACCTGGTCCCGCAGATTGAGTTCTGCGCCGTCTGCACTTTGCAAGGGCAGAAGGTGCGCCTTGTGGTCAGCGACGAGCCCGTCCGTCCATATACTGCACGCACTGGGCGCTTTGACGGGCTCCTCTACTGCAAGCGCTGCCCACATTGCCGCGCCAAGCACAATCTCTCATACGCCGAGGAGTCAACTCGGCTGGCTCAGGGCAAGCAGGTACCGTATGACGGCGCGATGGATCGGACTCGCAAGTACGTCCAGCTGTAGTGATCATCTTTGAGGGCGAGATGCTGTGGCGCCTCGACACGCAGATGCTCCACTCGCACACCGGCTTTGAGCCGTACGCCAGGAGTGGACGACCAGCTGCGACAACAAGGGGAGGCTCCTGAGCTTTAGCGTTGAGCAGTGCAGCTGCGGGCGCTCGTGGGCGGCTGTGCAGTGGTGAGAGTGCCTGATTGGGGGCGAGTTGGTGCTGCGCCAGGGTGCGCAGCATGCCCTCTTGCTCTGTGCTGAGGCATGCTGGCTGGCGCCCAACACAATGCCCTGGGTACATTGCTCCACGCCGTGCTGGCTGGTGCAGTACTGCCAGTGCGCCGACTGGCGCGCAGGGTGCGCGTCGCCGCGCGTGGCACGGGTGGCTCGAGAGGCGCGGCTGTCGGTCAACCCCGCGGCGCATGGGCGCCGCCGCGGAAGCTGCTCGACAGGCTGCGGGCATCGCTGCGTCAAAAGCGCCCGCCCTCTGCTTTGCTTTCGCCCGCGTTTTACGACAAGTTTCGGTTTATCATAGCCGCCGAACTTTACCTCGCTGTTTCTTTATAGGCGTCTCGCAGCTGCGTATTCTTGTATTCTCGTGTTATCGTCGCGTAGTACGGTACTGCGTCGGGGCGGTGCGTATTCTCGTATCACTAGCTGGTGTCGTGTCCACTAGCTCCGAGTAGAGGGGGTGCGGTCTGCTGCTAGGGGGGCCCAAGGAAGCGCGAGGGAAAAATTCCGCCGCTGAGGGAAACCCGGAGCGCTGCCGTACGCCCTCGGAGACCCGTGTTATGGCCCTGCGACCGCGCACCCCCCCACGGTCGAGGAAGAGGGTGCGTTCTGCAGTTAAGGGGTAACCCGGTACACGGAACCATCCCTCGGAGACGTGTTATGGCCCTGCGACCGCGCACCCCCGGGGCTAGGGCTCTCTAGCCCGTAACCCGATACCGAGCGTCCGGCCAACTGGGTGCGCTTCTTAGCTCCCCGGTCCTGGACGTGAGGTTAATGACCGCACTCCAAGTGCTCCAAGTGCGCCGCAGGCTCCCCGGGCCCCAAATCTCAACTCAAATCTCAACACGAATCTCAAATTGATCAAATCCACCCAACCCTTCTAGAAGCTTCGAGGCTTTTGTCTCAGTTTTCACACCGCAAATCTCCAAATCTCAGCTCTCAAATCTCTAGGTTGGAAGGCCGTCCAAATCTTCAGTCTCAAATCTTGAATCTCGAGCGAACTCGACCGCAGATTCCTTTTGGTGTGGGAAATCTCATTCTCCAAGTCTCTGGTCTCTAATCCCAAAGTCTCCCACCGGAGGCCGAGTGACTGAGGTCTCAAATCTCAAACCTCTGGTCTCAAATCTCAACAACTGGGTAGCACTGTAGAGAGACCCGAGTGCCGAGAGCGGAGGTGTCTTTCAAATCTTTAAGCTCTCAATCTCTAAAAAAGACTAGAGAGATTTCAATTACCCACTTTTTGATCTACTCTTATACACGTATATTCGGAATATTGTAATGTCACGTACACGTGGTACACACACTCTAGTAACGTCGTGTACAAACTAAATCAGGAGCCTCAGGCCACGCGCGCTCACCGACACCCGATCCGGCCTGGAACCGGGAGATTTGGAGCGCCAAGGCACCGCGGATTTCTGCGGCGTCGACTACGTCCGCGACGATCGGCGGCCAAACATCGGGAAAATCCTCGCAGGAGAAGAGCAGAGGGCGCCGGGATGCGGCACGACGCCCTCCGGGCAGCCCGTCGGTTTGACCCGGCCGCTCGTCTTCATCTGCTCGAAGAGGTTGTTCCAGTACGACTCCGGGTAAGGCATGCCGGAGCTCATCGAAAAGTCGCAGTGGAACTGGTGGTACTCCTCGGCCACGTAGAAGGGGCGCTCATTCGTGTCGTAGACGTACACCGTATTCTCGGCCGGGTCGCCGGCGCCGTCATTCTTTCCAGCTCCGGGCTTGAGCAACATGCGAAAGGCATTCCCGCGCTCGAACACTTTGTAAAGCGGCGAGGCCATGCCGCCCGGCAGCCCAAACACGGAGCGGTAGGCGCCCCCTCGGTCGCCGGGGTCGGGCCGCACGCGCTGCCCCGCTTCGCCCGTGAAGGAGCCAAAGAAGTCTTTGGCGAGCGCGGCGAGCTGCTTCTCTGCCGACGCGGCGTCGAGCGTCACCTTCACCGTCTCGGCAAATCCGTGCGCCGCGTAGTCGCGCGCGTCGCCGGTGTGGTAGCACACCGGCCCGCTCGCGTTCGCCACCATGCCGCCGGCGTAGCCCACGAGCGCGGTCACATCCGCATCCTTGCGCTGGAAAGGCCCATTTTCCTCCGTCTCGACCTTGTAATACGCCCACTGGCGCTCCCAGAAGCAACCATTGCCTAGGTGCACATCGATGGTGCCCTTGGAATCGACGGTCGTTGCGGTGCCCGAATCGACGGTCGTTGCGGTGCCCTTGGAATCGACGGTCGTTGCGGTGCCCGAAACCTGGCCGATCAAGTCAGCTGCGCTTCGCCTCGCCGCCAAGAGCAGAGCTGTCAGGCAGAGCGAGAGCGCCGTGAGCTTGAAGCAGCCTGCCGGGCGCCGACGCGGCTCGTCGACCAGCAAGAATTTGGCTGGCTCATCGGAGGAAGTTGCCAGCATTGCGGTCGAATAGAGCCGCGGAAGCATCAGACTAGAGATCGAGCGCGTGGAGAGGTGTAACATTCCTGGAAGCCGCCGCGGATGTACTCGCATAATGTGGGTAACCGACTGAGTTGGCAGGATCGGCAACTGGGGTCCGTTCTGACTAGTACATGTAACACGTTCTGGCCCTCGCCATTCTGATCATTCCTGGAACACCCTCGGACCGACCCAGGTGGCCGGCCGGGTAAAACCCGGGTATACCCGAGAATTCTCAGGTATCCCCGAAAAATACCCGAAGCGGAGCATGAGGAGCCACTCGTGACCTTTGAGGACGCGGGGGACGTGCTGGGCATGGTGGAGGCGCCGCTGCTCGTGCCGGACGGGTTCAAGGTTGTCGCGGCCTCGCCGACGGAGGAGCAGCTCGACCCTTGTGCGAAACGCTGGTCACGAGGCGGTCTCCTACGCGCCGCGCGCCATGTACGACCTGAACGAGCGGCTCATCGCCCGCCTCCCCTTTGGACGCGCCGAGGGCAACGAGGCGCGGAACGCTCTCGACCGGCGCCACACGCCCACCTGCGCTCCGTGCGGCGGCGCCCCGCCCCTCGCCGGCGACGCGCTGCCCGAGTGCGTGCACTAGCACGTTGGAGGTGGCTGCCACCCCAGAGACTGAGGAAAGGGCGGTTGGCGGGCGGTGGCATGCCCCAGCCCCAGTGCAGGAAGACACACCGGTCACCGCCTTTGCGCGCGGCTCTTCACAGCTGTACTCTATTGCGTGGCTATTGGTATTGCGGCGGCGTACCGGCGTTTGCGTCAACTACACAACTCACAAAAGATTGGAGCATGGAGGGCTAGCCTGGCCCTGGGGGCGCGGTACCGTGTGGTTGCAGGTTGGCAACCAGGCAAGTGGGGGTTTTATGGCCGTTTTGCGGATTCGTTCGGCCTGGCAGCCGCCGGCCTTCTCTCCCTTGCCTATAGACGTAATACCTGGAATTAGAAAATAAAAACAAGAAAGACAGAACTAACACGATCGAGATCCCGCGGCCACTCCTTCTCCTTCGCCACGCCCTGAACCCTTTGTACAAGACCTCCTATCTCTCGCTCCCCGCAACGCCCTCTCCCGGACCCGCCCACATCTACCCACATCTCCCGCGGCACAAGAGCACTCCCGGCACCCAGCCCTGGGCTCGACTCTCAATATCGTGCTCACAACAGTGCTGCTGTACTTGGACATGGTCCGCGCTCACGCGCCATATCGCTTCAGGATGCAGGCGTGGCCGAGGCCGCCGTCGGCGCACGCCGCGACGAGGGCATACGTGCCGCCCTCTTTGACGAGGCGGTTGGCGGCGGTGGTGACGAGGCGCGCGCCGGTGGCGCCAAAGGGGTGTCCGATGGAGAGGGAGCCGCCCTTTGTGTTGAGCTTGGTCATGTCGACCGAGCCAACCTTGTCGACGCCGGGCAGGTTCTCTGCAAAGAACTTGTCCGAGTCCATCGCGACGAGGTTGGAGAGCACCTGCGGGCGAGTGGAGGAGGGGGGGGGGGGGGGTGGAGGGGCCGAAGGGCCGGGGGAAAGGGCGGAGGGGCGGCCCGGCAGGGGGTCCGGAGGCGTGCTGCTCGCCTGCCCGGCGAAGGCCTCGTGGAACTCGATGACGTCGATGTCTTTGAGGGAGAGGCCCGGCATGCGCAGCACCTTTGAGGCGCCGTACGTCGGGCCGAGCAGGAGCTCCTCCAAGGGGTCCCAGGCGACGAAGGCGTACGCGAGCAGCTCTGCCTGCGGTAACGGAGGCCGGCCCGGTGGGGAGGCCGTGGGGCCGCCGTGGGGAGGCCGCCGGGCCGGGGGTGGGGCGGGGCGGTGCCCCCCCTTCCGCGAGAGGCCCAGCTCGGAGGCCTTGCCGTCCGACATGAGGAGCGTGGCGGAGGCGCCGTCGGTGAAGGGCGACGCCGAGGCGGCGGTCACCGTCCCGTGCGGCTTGACGAACGCCGGCTTGAGCGTCGCCTAGAGATCCGACCGGCCACTCGGTCACGCCGGCTGCGCCTCGATGGCGCTCGAGGGCGGGGCGCGAGAAGATGGCGCGCGCCATCTTCTCGAGAGAAGAGTCGGCGCGAGGGCCGTCCTCGAGCGTCTTGCCGCCCGGCCCGGCGATCACCTCGCCGTCGTAGAAGCCGTCCGCGTGCGCGTTCGCCGCGTTGAGGTGCGACCTCAGCGCGAACTCCTCCTGCTCGCGCCTCGAGACTCCGAAGCGGTCCGAGAGTCGGTCTGCGTTGTGACCCATCACCTGGGAGGGGCGAGGGAGGCGTGGGTGCGATGGGGAGCGGGCGGGCCGACGAGCCGGAGTGAGGGGCCGCGCGCCTCCCCGGTGAGGAAGTTTGCGATGGCGGGCTGCTCCGGCGCGAGGTCCTTCATCTTCAGTCCCTTGAAGAAGATGGACGCCATCTGGCCGGGCGACTTGGCCTGCAGGCGAGGACTTTGGCCGTGGGCGGGCGGGCGCGGGGAGAGCGGCGGGCGGGCGGCGGGCTGCGCCTTCGACATCTTGATCAGCTTCTTGCGGATCGGCCGCGAGTAGCGGATCGGAGCGTCGGAAAAGGTCTCGACGCCGCCGGCGAGCACCACCTCGGCCTGGCCAGAGAGGATCTGCGACGCGCCCGTGCAAATCGCCTGGTTGGACGAAATGCACGCCTGCCGCACGGGAGGACGGACGGGTCAGGGCGAGTCGCGGCGCGCGAGCCGCCGCGTGCCACGTGCCGGCGCGCCTGCGTGACTGTGTGCGCCGGGACACCGCGAGGGATGCCTGCAGCGAAGGCGGCGTCGCGTGCGATGTTGGAGGTCTTGGGCTCCTGGATGACCTTGCCCCACAACACGTAGTCGATCGCCTTCGGGTCCACCGCCGTCTTGGTCAGCAGCCCGTGCATCGCGAGCCGCGTGAGGTCGTAGCTCATGAGGTCAAAGTACTCGCCGCGCGACGGCTGGAACGGGATGCGGCAGCCGTCGACCAGGACAACCTTCTTCTGCCCTGTCGACGCGGCGGTGGAGCGCGCGCGCGCGCGGACGATCGCCGGGCGAACGGCGCGAAGGCGCGTCGAGAGCTGCAGCATACCAGCGAGGGAGGGCCAAGTTCTGCTGCTCATCACGGGAGCTAAATCCTTGTGCGCGACGAATTTTTTTATTTGTACTCCTCATCGCAAACCCTGTCAGCAGTTCACCCCCTCGGGTCTGTACAGACAAAAAATTCTGTTTGGCTTCCAGGCTGCTCTGGGGGGGGGGGGAAGAGCTGACGCAACTCGCCGACACGCCGAGGCTCGCGCCAGCCCCATCTCGGGTTGACTCGGCCAGACTAAAACCCCGAGCGGCGTGGGAGTACCTCGCTTGGCCCTTGGCGCCGCGCCGATGACAATCCCACCGCTCGCCGACGCCGCCCGGCTCGCCGCCGCGGTCACCGCCGCCGCGTGTGCGCTCGGCGCGGCCGCACTGTTGCTCTACCTTCCCCGCGATGACCTCGCCCGCGAGGGCGACGAGTCGCTCGACGCGCTCTGCCCGCGGCCGCCTCCGGCCGAGACGGACTGTAGCTGGCCGTCCAAGGAGGGCTGCTCGCACTTCCGCCCGCTCCGCCTCACGGTGAGCCTCGACCTGCCGCCCGAGCAGCGGTGGAGGGCCATCGCGGGCGAGCCCGGCTTTGCAAAGGTCCTCCACGGCGTGATTGTCCGGCTCTATTCGCGCTTTGTGCAGCGGCGGCTGATGCAGACGCCGGTCGGCTGGCTCTACGCCGGCCTCATCCGGCCGTGCTCGCTGTGGACGCTGCCTCCGGTCGGGCGGGCCGCCCGACTGGTCTGCCGCAAGCTGCTCGAGAAGCACGGCGGCGCCGAGGCGGTGGCGGAGACGCTGTTCGGCGCCGAGTACGCAGCCGAGATGCGCGGCCTCTGCGCCGCGTCGGGGCTAGACCTCGGCGACGTCATCGTTTGCAACGCCGTCTTCGAGGCGGCGGCGGCATGCACCAGCGCAGTCGCGACGCTGCCCGACGGCACGATCGTGCACGGCCGCAACCTCGACTACCCCGAGGTGTATATGCGCGCGGCGGTCTGCGCCGTCCGTTTCGTGCGGCGCGGCGAGGAGGGGCGCGAGGCGACGGCGTACGATGCGACGGTGCTGCTGCCGTGCGTTGGCGCGTGGGACGGGGTGCGGCCGCGCGCCTTCTCGCTCTCGCTAAACACGCGGCACAAGAGCGTCCACCAGCAGCCGGTGGGCGAGGAGGCGTGCACCTACAGCTCGTTCGACGGAGGGCCGCTCCGGACGCTGCGGCGGAACTGGCGCTGCTTCCTCGCCGGCGAGTGGGGCGGCTCGCCCTTCTTCTCCGCCGCGCGCCGCGCGCTGCCGCTGCCGCTGCTGATGCGCGCCGCCCTCGAGCACCGGCTTACCTTTGGCGCCGCGCTGCGCTTCCTCGCCACCGAGCCGCAGGGAGGCCTCTCCTACATCACGATCGGAGGCACGCGCAGGGGAGAGGGCGCCGTCATCACCCGCGCCCGCCGCACCGCCGCGGACGTGCGCACGCTCTTTGACTACAGCGGCGCGGGCGACGAGGAGGGCGGCGGCGAGAAGGGAGCTTCCCGCTGGGCGCTCGTGCAGACCAACCACGACCACTGGCTGGTGGACCCGCCGCCCTTCAACGATGGAGCGGGCTGCGACGGCAACCGGCGCGAGGCCGCCCTCGCCAAGCTCGGCACCGCGCCACCAAACGTCTGCCCCACCCCTCCGTCGCCGCCTCCGCTGTCGCCCTCGTCGCCCTCGCCGCCGCTCGTGCGGTCACCGGAGGGCATGTGCGCCAGCCTGATGTGGGAGTTGCTGGGCGCGTGCCCCAACCTGCGGGAGGACGGCTCGTCGGTCTGGTCCTGTGTGGGCGAGGCGGCACGAGGCACCTGGGAGCTGCGCTTCAGCACGGGCCTCCACGATGAGGCCGAGCCCTGCCCCTACTGGATCAGCGGCGGCGGCGGGGCGGGCAAGGTGCCAACGAGCGGGCGCTGAGCGTGGTCCCGTGGAGCTCTGGGCGCTAAGCGCTGCATTTTTTCTGGTACCGTCACACAGCGCGCACCACGACTATTCCACTGCTACAGTACCCCCTTTTGTGTTTTGATTGATTGATTGAGGCTAGTTCCATTTCACTGTCGACTGTGGCACAGCTCGCGTTACACAATCTTGATTTTGAGACCATTTGCGGCAATCTTTTTTGCGCCATTTTGTCCCTCTCGGTGCCTTCCACCAGCAGCTGCGATCCCGCCGAATGGACTGGCGCACACGACATGTGGCGCGGTGTGCGCCCGTCCACTCGGCGGGGTCGCAGCTGCCTCTGCGCGTCCTGGGGAGGGACAAAATTGTCGCCGCCGGAGACGACTCGACGCCGCTGAGATCGGAGATCAAGCTCTGACAGGTCGCACGTCGCTCCTTTGACGCCGACGTGACTCACCCGTGCAGATCACATCAGGACACGGTCTCGACGCGCTCGGTACGACGCCTGCGACCCGTCTCGGGTCAGGTGGCACGACGCTCATCGCGCCTGCCAGCGCTGCCGTGCAGGCTGCCACGACGAGGTCGAGCACGCTTCTATACGCTCGCCGAGCCTTCCTTTCCATCCCATTAGGCAGCCTGGGAACGGTGGCGGTCAGAGGCAAAGACTACGAGGGGTGGTGGAACCACATGTCACGGCTACTGCCGGCTCGACCCCACGATAGCCTCCGAAGGCTGACTTTGAGGCACCCTCATCGGACGATGTCGACGAGTTGGGTCGCTCTCGCGGTAGCCAGATGACCTCCCATGCTAGTACCATCGGCTAGGGCCGCAGGAAGCGCGGGGGAGGGCGCTGGGAGCAACACGGAGCTCCGTTGGACGTTTTCAAGATTAGCGTGTCAAAGTGAAATGGAACTAGCCTGATGGGAAGGCGAAACACAGTCCGACCCCCTACCACAGAGTCAGAGAGCACAGGCCCACACACTTCAAGTATCAAGACTTCTTGAGCTCGCGTTTGTGGTTTGAGCATTGAGGCGGTTTTGAGCGCGCTTCGCTTGGGCCTCTTGGCCCCTTCGCCCTTGGGCGCGCGCCGGCCCCGGCCGCCGCGCACACGGGGCGCCTCACTGGTCGTCGCCCATCGCGTCGTCGTCGGCGGCGGTGGCGCCATCGGCCTTCTCCTCGGCGGCGGGCTGGCTTGTCGCAACCTGAACCTTGATAGGCTCGGCCCTCGCCCGCTTGCGGACCGTCACGTGCAGCAAGCCGTGCTCCAGCGTGGCCTGCACCTTCTCTGGGTCGATGCGCTCAGCGGGCAAAGCAACAGCACGGTGGATCTTGCCGCAGTAGTTGAGGCCGCTGCGCTCGAACTTGGACTCACCCCTCACGCGGAGCACCCCCTCGTCCAACGTGATGTCGACGTCCGACGGCAGGACGCCCGGCGCCTCGAACGCGAGGTGGAAGGCGTCCTCGGTCTCGCGGAGCTCGGAGGAGTGGCAGCGTGGCGGGGCGTGCGCGAATGCGTCGACCAGGTCGAAGAGGTCGTGGCGCGGGAAGGGCATCTGGAGAGCTAGCATTGCTGCTTCGATTTGGCGGACCTCTGGACACTTCTGGAGCGCGGCCGACCTCTTTGTCACGCTCGAGATTCATCGATGCCTGGAAGTTCCTGCTGGCAATAATTAATTAAGGAGGACAAGCGTTGCTGTCTGTCTGTCTGCTGCATGATGACTCCGCTGCGTCTGTCGACTGTCTGTCTGCCTGTCCGTTCTCGATTCGTTCGTTCGTCTATCTTAACGTCTTTCTTGTGCGCGACCTTGCCAACTTCCTTACTTCTTGCTTTTTGTGAAGCGTTTCGCGTTTGCGCCACAGACTGTTCTTCCCTGAGATACATACAAAAGTAATCACGTTTGCTCCCCCTGATCTCTGCAAGCTTTACATGAATGCTACTTACCGCAGTCTGACTGATTCCCCTTCCTTTATATACTTAGCCGCCTTTCTACAGACTACACGTACCTCTCGTGCCAATGCGTGACGGGCGGAGGGAAAGGTGCACGGCGGCCACCCCAGGTTCTCCCGAGGCAGGTTAGTGATGGGACCTGCGAAAGTTGAGTTTACGCTATTCCGGCACGTAATCCTATCTAGATAGGGAGGGAATCCCAGGTACGCCCAGCGGCAGCGCGCCGCAGCATATCTTTGATGGTGCTCTTTGCGGGTGGCGACGACTCGTCCGACGCTCAACCCTACGACGCGAACGAGGAGGAGGAGGAGGGAATCCCAAGCAGACCAGGAGCGGGCGCCGCGCTATACCCGCAGTGCAGCAATTGCTTTGCCCAGTGCACGGCTGATGCGCTCAATGACCAAGTAATCCAGCTCGGCTGTTGGGATATCTGCTGCGTTGAGCGCTTCACAAGCGGGCTTGAGTCCTCTGGATTGTGGTTGGGCACCGGCGCGCTCAACAGCGCCATCGGAACCGCCGGCTCTATGAGCAAGCAGTATGTGCCCGGCGCCAGCCTGATGGCCGGCTTCACCGGCATGGCAGGCGACGGGATGGCACTGAATCCACTGACGCGTCCCTGCCCTGGCTATGACTTCGCCTCGCGGTCGTGCCAGACGGCGTGCATCTCCTCTTTCATGACGATCGCTTGGAATGGATGTTGGGACCACTGTTGCACCTCACCGCCCGACCCGCCACCTCCACCCTCGCCGCCAGGACCGCCGTCGCCGTCGCCCCCGCCGTCGCCGCCACCCCCGTCGCCTTTACCACCGCCGTACACGCCGCCACCTTCATCTCCACCAGCGCCTCCAACGCCGCCCCCTCCACCATCGCCGCCGCCCGAGCCGCCAGCGCCTCCAGGCCTCATCCACCAGGCGGGCAACTGGCTTGGGGGGGTGGCTGGAGGCGCCCTAGGGGCGACAGGCGCCGTCGCAGGTGGCGCGGGTGGCCTGATCGGGCAGGTTGGCGGCGCAATCGTCGGTCGTGATGGCAGTGCCCCGGATGTTAACTCGACCCTGGCTCGCAGCCTGTCCATCACCGGGGCGGCGTATGATATGGTCTCCGGCGCAGCCGGCGCGGCCTCGGACACTGCGATGGGTATAACAGCCACGGCGGTGGGAGGCTCCGAGAACCTCGCAGCGATCGCAGCGGCGAGTTCTTTGGGGTCAAAGACCGCGTTCGAAAAGTTGCAAGAGCAGTCAGAGCTGCCGGCAGACATGACCGAGGCGGCCATGAGCAAAGCCGAGACGGCCTTGGACCAAGCCACCACGTCAGCGACGACGACGGCATCCGGCATGCTCAGCCTATTTGGCGGCGCGTTCAGCGCAACTGCCAACAGGTTTGCCGGACAGCCTTCGTCGCCACCAGCACCTCCTTCGCCGCCGCCGCCGCCATCCCCCGCACCTGTGCCTCCCCCCGAACCCCCACCGCCCGTGCTTGATGTCGTCTCGGGTGCCTGGTCGAGCGCTGCACAGCATGGTACGAAGGCGCTGCAGACGAATGCCCGCGCTGCCGTGGCGACAATGAACGCGGCCATGACCACGGCGTCTCATACCGGGGCGGTGGTAGACACTCTCGCCGAGACCAGCTCCAATTTCCTTCCGGTGGTGGGGCTGCCATTCAGTGTGCTTGGCGAGTCTTTGCGTGAGGAGCCGCTTGCCGCTTCAAAGGACTCTGCGCGACTACCCGTGACGCACTCCTCTGCCGCCGCCGCAGCAGCCTTTCTTGCATTTGGCGGTGCCGCTACCACGATAATTGGCATTATTCTTGCCAGGGCATGGCGGCACACGCGCAGCAGCAGAAGGATGAACCGGGAATCGGTGTGCGTGTAGCAGCTAGGCTCAACAAACGGTGACAACGTCCGCCGCGCCCTAGCCAGACAGTGTCAGTGTCCTGTACGCTGAACCCCTAGAGGCTGTAGAGACCTACCGCTTACCGTGATTTTCGGCGCAGCCGCAGTCGGGCAGTTTCCACACGAAGTTCCACACGTGTGCTGTGGCCTGTGGCTGTGCGTCCTGTCGTCCTGACTCCTGACCTGTTCACCATCCTGTAGTCGGCGTGCGGTGTTTCACTTTCAGCGGGTCACAGAGGTCGGGTGTCCAGAGTCCACCGGCGTGGGTGTGCTGAATAACGTGTGGCTAAAAAGTGACATCTAGACATGTACAAAATACTTTTCGCGTGAGAGAGACGTACGCGTGTGACCCACTGTGGTAAAATCCCTTGGCCTCCAACTTCGCGCCCCGCGACCCTGGCTGCGCGCTCTGCGAAGACTGCGACCTGTGTCGCTTTTAACGCGCTCTCACATCGTTGGCTCGATTGTGGCCCGGCCATCGCTCGATGATGTCGGCGTCGCCAGCGAGCGCCCTCACCCCCTCGGCGTACTCGCGGCGCGCCACGTGCGCTTTGACGGCCGGCATGTTTTTGAGCGGTGCGCCGGTGACTGGGCAGCGCATATCTTGCTTTAGCGCCGCCTACGGGTGCGGGACGAGGGCGGACTCTTCCGGTGCCACCGCGAGGCGCGGGCGGCGGTGCCAGTGCACGCGCCTCCTCGGCCGCATGCCCGCGCGACAGCACCTTCCCCGAGCTCTCGATCTGCGCGGCGACCGACGCGGGGTGGAGGAGGAAGGAGGTGGCGAACGAGTTAAAGTGCTTCTTGTTCTTGAGGGCGTCCGAGTCGAGGTCGGACGAGAGGAGGTGCAGGTGGAGCTGGCGGAGCGACGGCGCGGCGTGGAAGCCGCACAGGAAGGGGGGCAGCCCGGGCGTGCGCGCGCGCAGCGACGCGGCGAGGTGGCGGGCGAGGCGTTGCATCGAGCGGAGGAGAGGGAGGTGCGACGCGGTGAGGTCAGCGGGCCCGTCGAGCCTCGTGCGCGGCAGGATGAGGAGGTGGACCCGCGCCTTCGGGTAGAGGTCGTAGCCAACCACAAAATCGCGCGTCAGCAGAAAGATGTTCTCGGCCGGCTGCGCCTCGGGCGACATCGCGAGGCGCTGCAGGACCTCCATGCCGGAGAAGCCGCCGGGCTTGGGAGGCTGCACGAGCAGCGGCAAGTCTCGCCCTCCCCAGTCGTCAGCGTCGTCGCCGTCGCCGTTGGCGCCGTCGGCGCCTTCAGCACCGCTGCTGCCACAGGCAAGGCTGCCCCCACCCTCATGGCCCTCGCCGCCATCGCCGCCATCGCGGCCGCCGGCGACAGCGCGCCGTTGCTGCAGCGGCTGCTCTTCCGCATCAGGCGGAGGCCGCTTTACACTGTGCGTCGCAGACGTGTCGTCTCTGCCGGCAGCTGCTTCGCCCTCTGGGCCGTCTAGCCGAAACTCGTGGGTGCCAGCCAGAAGGAAGAGGCGGTCGAGGCGACGCATTTCGGCCGCCGGCTCGCCTCGCCGGAGTACGATTGGCTCGTCGCCAGCGGCGCGGACCAGCACGACAGGGTTTGAGCCCAGACTCTCGAGCATGAATGCCGCCGTCGATGTGGACGCGGAGAGTGAGGCGTGCTGCCGAGAGATCCGCTTGTCATCGAGGCCCGCCAATCCTCGGCCAACAATCGTCGTGACTCCAGCTGTGAGTGGGATGCAGAGCGGCCCGACAGTCGAGCGGAGGCACCAGCCCGTCACGCTCATGCCGACACAACGCCGTCTCTTCTCTTGTCTCGAGCCGGTGCGCGTCCCTCGCGTGGGTTTAGGAGGAGGCTGCGCTGCACAAGCACGGACGGGAGGGCTTCTCCTGCGGAGTCGTGCGTGCGCGGCGTGTTTGCTTTTTCTACGAACCGCCCCCTCCCCAGCTCGGGGGACTCGCATCGGTTGCCTCCATGAACGGCGGAGCTATCAGCTATTCTCGCGTCCACACCACACCTGGCTCCAACGTGGACACGCCCATAGCTGCGGACACTACAACAACAACAACCCTGTCTGCACGTCTCGCGCGCGCGTGAACAGGGCGTAGCGCGTCGGCAGGATCCCCAAAACCGTCGTAAACCCCCCAAAATTGAAGTCGACCGCGCAAAGCTGTCCCCCCCCGCAAACTTTAAACCTCCATAAACATCATTTTGCAGGGGCATGCAAGGGGATATGCAACGGTGGCATAAAGTGAATGATACACCGTCGCAAGATTGGTCCTAAAATCGACTCCTGGGTTGGCTGGCCCCGAGAGCTGCGTCTCGAGCTCCCGGTGCCGTTGCCAGACGACCCCGAGCGTCGGCGCCCAAATAAGAGGCCCGGCGCTCACACTTCTCTGGTAGGACGGGAACGATCACAGAAAACTGCGGCCGCCAGCGACTGAGCGTCTCGCTGGCGGACGGGGAGAGGAACACAAAGGGACGTCCGGACGTCCATCCACTGGGATGAGAATACTGGAGATCTGAGGTCGAATCTGCCGATTCCACAGCCGCCCACAGGAGCGCCGCCTCAACACGGGGTCTCGGCTCTATCGAGCCATGCTAGCTCCAGCCTCAGCCCCACCCGGCCGCCCGAGGGTGTTCCCGCATGCAGAGAAGACCAATCCTGGGGGAAGTAACCACACACAGACACATTACAACACGTCTGCGGCGCAGGGAAGTGGAGGGTGGGGCAGACGAGAACAGGACTCGGGCGCCTAGAAGCGCGAGGGTCCGATAGTTTGGTGACGATTGAGTCACGGTTCCCCCCTCACCCCCGGTGGGTTGAGTTTGTCGGTTCCTCTCCTCGCGTTGTCGGACAACCTACATAGCCGCTGCGCGGCTATCTGCGACGAGACCGTGGGACACGCACCGCCGACAGTCACGCCGTCGCTTCCGCGGCGGCGCTTATTGAACAACGCAACTCCGCGTAAAAGAATTTAAACAATCGAACTCTCTCTCACAGCACACAGGCTCGACACAGGTGCGAACTGGCGCGTGCTAGAAGAATTTACAACAAAGCTCCCTCGCACAACACTGGGCACGGGACTGGCGCGCACTGCGTAAAAGAAACGACAAGGTCGTGGACTGGCGCACACTAGCACACACATCGGCACACCAATGGCGCCCTTCTGCCACGAGAACTTTCGGTAGCCAGGAGCCAAAGCGCGAAAGCACTGCGCCGACGCTGCACCCTCCGTGCCGCTGGAGCCGTCGTGCGCCTCCCAAAGGTACTGCAGAGTGCAGACGCCGCAGCGAGTCTCAGGCCGGATGCCGAACTCGTCGCGCTGCACAAACGTGTCGGCGGCACGGAAGCGAGCGCGACCCTCGGGCGTCGCACGAAGACAGCCAGCACAGCAAGCAATGCCGCGCTTGCGCCGTTTCACGTGCTTGTTGTTCTTTCCAGCAAAACGGTACCAAAAGAGGACAGCAGCTTCAAACCCAAAGTGCGAGCGGATGAGGGCGAGCCATCCGTCAAAAAGGCCAACACGAGGCTCCACCATCGCCTCCAGCCGCTTCGACCCAGGCTGAAAGCTCGCAATCTGGGCAAGGACAGCGCTGGCATAGCCGGCGCTGCCCGGCGTCTGCGCAACAGCCAGAGCGACAGGCTGCTCTTTTCCCTGCACACTTTTGAGTCTCCGACCATACGCGGTGCGCTGTGCGTTGGCTGAGAGGGCTGCGACCTCGGCTGGACTTGCATATGGCGTCATCTCCCTGACGCTCGACGCGCATCTGCTGCAGGACGTGGCCGAGTTGTGGTTGACAACGTCTCTGCAATGCCGACACAGCCACCACTCCAGCCGCAGCTGCGGCATTGTGCGCCATTCGGCGGCCGACGGTATCTGACCGCGCTGCGCTCGCAGCTGCAAAGACACCGCCGCAAATGCCGCCGGACCCGCATCCGGAAGAGCCAGGATTCCAGCTGCCGTCGATGCTCCATCGCCCGCAACAAGCGTGCGATGCTGCGTCACTGCGCCAAGAGGCGCAGCAACCTCGACCTGGGTATTGCTCGGGTCCGCAACGCCCACGGGGCGAATGCGATTGCCTGGCCCTATCGCCAAACGGCTCTGCTCCTCCTCTTGTCTGGCAGCAAACGCAAGCTGCGGCACAGGCCGCGTTGGCGCAGAGGTGGCGGCAAGCCTCAACGCGCCTACCCGTGGCATGCCGCCGGATCGGGCCACGACTAAGGCTGCAGGATTCGGCCCCGCCTGCTGCGAGTGCCCTCCCGTTGCGGTGTCCATTTTGCGTGCAGTGGGACTACAACTGTAGCGCGTCGGCAGGATCCCCAAAACCGTATAAGCCCCCCAAATTGAATTCGACCGCCCAAAGCCGTCCCCCCCCCCGCAAACTCTAAACCACCATAAACTACACAAAACAGGGGCTCCAGGCCCCAAATGACGTGTGAGTGTTAGATTTGTTTGGTATTGCTAAAAATCCTCCACTACA